CCCTGAGCCGGTGAGATTTGAACAGCCGAACTGCAGAACTGCAGTCAGCTGAAGTAGCCTGCAGTGCTGCATTTAACCACTGCGCCACCTCAGGCAAATGCTGGTTTGCACGCTTCACTAAATATGAAGAGACCAAGTCAGATTGTTAGTTATCTACACCCCCAGATACTAATACCACCTCCACAGTTGCAGCCTTGATACAAAGTGGAGTATGACTATGTTGTGGCTCTTTCTAACAAAAAATAACTACAGAAAATAACTACAGAATTTTAGAAGATCGGCCGACTAACCAAATAATAAAAACTACTTCAAGTAGAATCAATACACTATGTATCACCCTGATTAGGATACAGATTTGTATCAGTTGGTGGGTATCTAGAACACAGGAGACAACAAGCATTGATGATGTTACCTAGTTTGGGTAATGAAAGGTCTGCAAGAAAACAAGCAAGCTCAGAGAGCACTAAGGACCCCTCATTTCACACTCTGAGCTGCAAATATTCTCCTTTATTGGTACAGGAGACAACCGTTTATTAGTAGGTTTGACACTTCTTAAAGTTTTATGTTAATAGGCAGGACCAGGATTTCTCAAAGCAAGGGGAGAGATTAGGCATGTGAGTAAGTGGGAGGAAAAGAGTGCCATTTAATTGTACAAAATTGATATGTCTATATACACATATGTATATACAGGCTTATACAGCTACATGTGGGCATAGATGCATATACTACATGTATGGGTTTGTGTGTACAGTTCAGACCCAATATCTTAACAGTTACACTAGATGAGAATGCCCTTTTATTCTCTCATTTCTGGAAATTTGGTATGAATTAACTTACAGGTAGTCCTCGACTTACGACCACAATTAAGCCCAAAATTTCTGTTGCTCAGCAAGACAGTTGTTAAATGAGTTTTGCCCCATTTTACAATCTTTCTTGCCACAGTTGAAAGACTGCAGTTGTTCAGTGAATCTTTTGGTCATTAAGTGAATCTAATTTCCCCCACTGACCTTGATTTTTCAAAGCCAGTTGGGAAAGTTACAAATAGTGATCACATGATCTTAGGACAGCGCAGCTATCATAAATACCTGCCAGTTACAAGCACCTGAATTTTTTTGTAATATATGTTTATTGTTTTTACGTTTAAAATAGACAAGCACCTGAATTTTGATCGTGGGGTTGTTGCAATGGCCATGTGAAACACATTCATAAGTCGTGTTTTTCGGTGCCATTGTAACTTCAAACAGTCAATAAACGAATGGTTGCAAGTCAAGGATTACCTATACTTAGTATTGTTTCCATTCTGCCTATTAATATAGCCCCAGTGGTCATTCAAGTCTGAACAGCACATTCAGCTAAGTCAGGTGAAACTACCTATACAACATCAAAGATAGTATTATCTAAGGCTCCGGGTGTTTCATTTTTCAGTGTATTGCTGCTCACATTTTAAAACAATTTTATTTGGAAACTCTCACTTAAAAGATGATAAAAACCATTTGTGGCTTCTAATTTTCTTTTTGTGATGAGTTTTTTTATGATGGAAAATTCAGAAAAATTTGTGACTAATCTAGAACTCAAAACACGGTATTTCCTTTTGATAGGTCATTATGATTAGTAAAAATTTGGGAAATGAAATAATTCTGTTTTTCCTCTATAGGATGACAGGGAAGAAGAGAAGGAGTGAATGTTGTCTTACCTGCATGAAGTTTTCCATTTCCTTTGGTGCTTTACTTTCTCTCGTTATTTTTTTTTCTACATAAAAAGTACACTCAATAAAAGTAATAACATTTGTACTCTTTTTCTCCTCCATTTACTCTTTATGGGAGCCAGCAAACCTAGCTTTAAATGTCTCTACCAGGGAAACACACTGTAATTCTTAATCTGAAAGGGAAAAAAAATAAAAACAAACCGTAATTAGTCAATTGATCAGAAAGCATCCACATGAATCTACACCCCCCCCCTCCATTGGTCCAAATTCATACACATACAACATAGGAAAACAAGCTAGCGCTTCTGAATTGGGGTGGGGTGGGAGAAAAGAGCAAGCTGAATATGTGTCAGCAATGTGATTATATTGGTCTAGCAGACCTTCTATTCCAGGGATCCTCAAAACTTTTTAAACGGGGCCAATTCATGGTCCCTTGACTGTTGGGGCAGACTGGGTGGGTGGTTATGGCTAGGTGGTCATGTGACTGGGTGGGCGTGACTAGGTCATGTGACTAGGTGAGTGTGGCCAATTTAACAGTCCATTAAACAATGCACACAAATTAAACTTTAATTTGTTTTGCTCCTGGGGGTGTTTTATTTGCTTTTATTTGCATGTTGCTCTTTTGGTTGACTTTTCTTTTTACTAGATCGTTTTTTCAGTTGTTTAGGAGTCTAGTGGAAACTCAGGAAACTCAGTTTTGCAACAATTCTTAAAACCGACAAGTCTCTGTTTCTCTCTCTTTCTGTCTCTCTCTCCCNAGTCCCAACTGATCGGGAGGAAATGGGGATTTTACAGTATCCTTCCCCTGGAGTGGGGAGGGAATGGAGATTTTACAGTATCCTTCCCCTGCCACACCCACCAAGCCACACCACGCCCACCAAGCCATGCCCACAGAACCAGTAGTAAAAAAATTTGAATCCCACCACTGTCTTGATAGCATAACTTTGTTTTACATACATTCCTATTTAAAGGGAAGAAGGCATATTGCAGAGGCATTATGTGGAGGTTCAAAGCAAAGTATCCAGCTTAATCCATGTAGCAAATGAAGAAACTATTTTAAAAAAAATAGTCAATTCTGAGTTTCACTTGAAAATTCTTCATGGGTAGGAAATGGAACAGTGAGACGGGCAATTAAATTTAGATGGATTCTATCTGCCAAGTTAGATTTAAATAAAGAAATGCTTCTTTAAGTAAAAATCACAAGCATGTGTTACAATAACAAAGTGAAATCTGCAAAAGTAATTAACACATTAATTATAGTGAGAAAAGAGCTGGTAAAGAAGAGATAATTTCTATTTCTCACATTCCTTAATTTCTTTCTATTTCTGATACTTTCTGCTTTTTCATTACTCCCACCCCTCATCCTGTATTACAGTAACTAAAAAGAAGAAGGTCCTGTGTTAGGAGATGGTATCATATCTCTTTTTTTTCACTGCCCCAAAACAGCTTCCCTTTTGTCTGAGCAGTAGCCATATAATCCTAATTCTTTTTTTTTATCAGAGTACATTCTGGGCTCAGAGCCATTAGAAGTCTCCAACTTTGTATCTTCTTCACACTGGTCCATTGTCTCATAGGTTGACTGAAACCTAATCCCTATGGCAACCATTTTTTCAATCCTCTATTTAGAAACCAGAAATCCAGGCTGACCCCGGGGAGGGGGAGGGGAGGGGTACCTTTCAAATCAAAGCTAACCATTTGGCTGATTTCATGAATTGAAACTCGGGTTACAGACATTCATTGCTTTGGATGAAGAACTTTTACAACTATTCCATCAGAAATGTTTTTGTTTACTGAAAACACATGGAAGGCTATTGTTTTACATAAATTTCAACACTTCCAATTAGGAAGAAATAATGGCAGTAATGGTTTGCCCTTCTATCCAAACCTCTCTCCTCCCTGCTCCCACTTGGTATTACAGAATTTAGTGGTTGTTATTTAGCATGATCTGCCTCATTCTCTCTCTCACTTTTCTTATATCCACACGGATAGATGATATACATATGCACGTACCATATATGGTTGGTTAGATGAAAGGAAGAATGAATAGAATATCTTCCACTTTTCTCCTGGGAAAGCAGATGATCCCAAACCTGCATGCTTTTTATAAACAAGTTAAAACCATCTTGTTTAAATGTGCCTTTTGGCTGATAGTTGATTTTGGTTACAAATTTTACCTTTTTAGTTTTTACAATGTATATTTGCCATTCTTTACTGCAGGGTCTCTTAGGATTAAGGAGGGCTATAAATATCAGAAATAAAGAAATGTCTATAGAAGTATTTGGTATAGGTAATGCTCGACTTATTGAATCCAAAATGTATGTTGCTAAGCGAGACATTTGTTAAGTGAATTTTGCCCTATTTTACGACCTTCCTGGCCACAGTTGTTAGGTGAATCTGGCTTTCCAATGACTTTGCTTGTCAGGTGATCATATAAATCCTGAGACACTGCAAAAATCATATGAGTAAATTGTCAAGTGTCTGAATTTTGATCACATGACCATGTGGATCCTGCAATGGTCATTAAGTGTGAGAAACAGTCATAAGTCACTTTTTTAGTGCCTTTGTACTTTCAAATGGTCACTAAATGAACTGTTGTAAGTCAAGGACAATATGCAGGTATTTCAAGCTCAGACCTCAACATTTATGTACTTTGTACAAAAGGACTTACAAGTTGCAGCTATCTTAAATGAATCCTTTGTAACAGAAGAGAACAAACATTTACTTATTTTGAGTATTTCTAGGCCATCTTTCAAAGTAGGATCTTCATAGGGAGACTAGCACACAAAAAAAAACACAATATGTTTTCCGGCAGATACCATATGGCTTATCTCACAGATGGGTGTTGGAGCACAACTCGACCAGCTGTCTTCTTCACTACTAAAATGGATGGGACCCTTGATGTTTGGGACTTCCTTTTCAAACAAAATGATCCTACACTCAACTTGAAGGTAATTTAAGGACATGGAAACAATGACACATGCCTTGTCCCACAAGTTTCTGTATCCCGATCTTTTTGTTGTAAGATCTTGTCTCTTAAGTTGCATTAATTACAAGATTTCTCTGATTTGATGTATCAACTCATACTACTGAGGTCACTTTGCTGGCTCTGTAGGGATTCATACCAAGTACAATTGTTTTGATGCTGCTGTACTGGGATGTCAATCATACAATTTGCCACTTTCTCATTGAGGCGAAATTTTGCACGAATGAAGGCAAATATATGTGTCCCAGGATAATGTTGCAGGATCCTATCTTGGTCAGTCACCAGGACTCAAGTTGTAGTCTTCCAATCTTTCAGACTCTGAAGATGGGCTCCAGTACAAGTGCAAAAGCTCAAAAGACTAACCTTCCGTTCCCAGCAAAATTGGATCCTGAAAATTTTGCAGCCCAGTGGGCATCATCATAACTGAAACTAGCCCCAATCCATATTTTAGTGTGCGTGCTTTAAAGTTTCAATGTAAGACCATTTGCAAAGAATAATAATCACTGCTGAAATAGAAATGTCAATTTATAAATCTGTGGGGTTTTTTCCTTATTTTTATTTATTTTATTTATTAAGTGTATATGCCACTAATCTTACTATCAAAATATAAAAAACAACTTTATAGAAGAAAGATATGGGGAGGGAAACCCCTTTTGTTTAACAATTGAATTAGAATAAGATCCGAGGTCTTCAAAACAGGTTGAAATTGCACTCTAGTACTCAGTGCACTAAAGTTAACAGAAAGTCAAATTCTAGTCAAATATCAAGTCAGTTACCTAAGAAGGTGGTGAATTATCCCTCGCTGGATATCTCGAAACTGTCAGGGTTCTAAGCAACACCCCCAATGAAAGAAGACTCTGAGGTTTGAGTTTCTTCAAAGTTCCATTTTATTAGAAATGTCATATCGGCACATCTGGGAAAACCTGAATCTGAAAGTTTCCAGGTTTTCCCAGCACCCACATGTCCATCACATGGTCCAATCAGGCACCATCTGCAGGGCCAGTCGACATTGACTTTCTGAGAAAGAATGTTATTATGGCTGTATATCCCCCATACTCAATATAATCCCCCCTCCCATTTTCCCACAGTAGAAAATGTGCCAGGCCTGAAGGTCCAAATGTAAAAGATGGTTTCCAGGTCTGACACAAACAGAGCCTGGATAATTTTAATTAAGATTCCTTCACTGAGTAGGAAGTTGGTCTCAATGGCCCATGTGACTCCTAATGAGAATTACATATATTTTATGGTAAATCTGCATGTTGTCTTAAAGATGCGAAAGAGTTGACATGGATATATATATATTTGCTTCCTGAATTGGTCCCCCCACCCCTCGCCAGGTTTGCGATGAGCCTCTCTTCAGTCTGCGTTTGCAGGATAATGGGCGTTTTATTGGCTGTGGATCCAAGTTGGGCACTGTAACGCTTCTGGAATTTTCTTCTGGCCTCTGTACTCTGCAAAGGAATGAGAAGAACCTGGCCTCAGCAGTGAGTATCTCCTGCTTGTCACAAATGGGCAAAGTGCCAGGCAAGCAAACCTCTGAGAACTGGAGTGAGATTGTTCCTTCTCTGGGTTGAATTCTAGTTTTCCATCTATGTATTCTATATCCTTATTTTTTTTTAAAAAATTATTCTTGTTAGCATAAATGCCATAACATATGATAGTCCCCAGCCAATCTGGATTGGATCTCAAAAAAAAAAAAGAAAGNAAAAAAAAAAAAGAAAGCTAAACAGAATCAGAGCTGATTAATATATGGAAGAGAAATGAACATTTCCATCTTGCTCCCAAGTGGGGGGAAATGCTATGTGGCTATCAGGTATCAAGTTCGGCTTGAGGAAGCCTTTACTTAACACTGTACTTCAAAAGAACTAAGCCACTGTATACAAGCAACAGTGTTTCATCAAATTATTGCTTTATGAGGCAGTAAGTGAGCAGCAGATCCCTTCCATTGATACGAGTGCTGATGCTGGTGGAATACAAACATTCAATAATATATTATTGGGACAGGCAATTTTCCCACTATCTACCTTTCGTTGGTACCCTGTAGAATAGAAGTATGGGCAGAATTTAGTTGAATGCTTTTTATCCGTAACAATGTGTATCTCAGATGTTTGAACGGGAGACAAAGCGAGAGAAGATTCTGGAGGCACGCCACCGTGAAATGCGTCTCAAGGAGAAAACCAAGCTGGAAGGCAAGGATGAAGAGGTCAAAGAAGATGTTGAGGAAGAAAAGCCACAGGAAGTTTTGAAACGAGTGCATAAAGAGTTCTTTGAAGTAATTGAAGGAGAACTCCGGCGCCGGGAGCGAGCTCAAGCCAAATTAAAAATAGAAAAGGTAACTGTGCAACTGGTAACAGGAAGCTTGGTGGGATGTGGGGAAAGGAGGCCTTTCTGAGTGGCAGATGTAATGGGTACAAAATGGGTGGGTTACAGCAGAGACTACTGCTGGTTTGCTCAGGAATGCGACATGCACACTTGAGGCGTGCTGTGCAACTAAAATGGCTCTGCGCATGCGCAGAAGCAAAAAACAAGATGGCGGCACCTACAGCGCTGCCAGGAGAACTGGTTCAGGGTCGTGGCAGGCTTGGGTTGCTGCCAGTTCCAGCAACCCAGGCCGTCAAGCTACTACTGGTTTAGCTGAACTAGTCCAAATCAGTAGAAACCCACCACTGGTACAAATCAAAACACCAAAAAAAAGAAGGAGAGTCTTACAAAAATATTTGTTGGGTGGTACTTATAATGTATTTAATCCCATCTCAGAATGAAAATGGGAAAGGCAATTTCCCAATACTGTAGATGAGGGGTATCAAACTCAATTTCATTGAGGGCTGCATCACGGTTTTGTTTGAACTTGGGGGGTTGGGGTGGGCATGGCCAGCTCAATGTCACTTGTTTCAGGGGCGCCTGTGGCAGCCCGAGCGTTCACCAGCAAAAACAGGCTGCCAAGCTCCATTTATGGCTATGATGTCTTCCTACAACCCTCTGCCAGTAAAAACGGAGCTAGGGAGGGCTGCTTGTAGTTCTCGTGAGCTCCACTGCCAGCTGCAACAGCCTCCTGCAACCTTCTGCCAATTAAAACAGAGCTTGGGCTGAGCACCATTTTCACTGCCAGAGGCACTGTGGGCCAGTCCTTTGCTGTTTCCAGGGCGGGCCAGATCTAAGCACATTGGGGGGCGGATGTGGCCCTGGGCCTTCAGTTTGACACCCCTGCTGTAGATTACTGTATGATACAGGAGCATTTTTGCAAAGCAAAAGGTAGAACTCTAAAGATAGTCATAATTATGATAACTATTTAAATATATTCTTGAGAAAAGATGAGAATTTGTATACAGGTAGTCCTTGACTTATGATTGGTTTCTTAATAACCATTTGAAGTTACAACGGAGCCAAAAATAAGGTACAAACAACCCAGAATCAAAGTTCCTCCACTATTATGTGACTGCATTTTGGGCACCCGGCAACCAGCCCACATTTATGGCTATTTGTGGCATCCCACAATCATGTGACCACAATTTATTATAGATTATTTTTTGCCAAAACCCAGCATTAACATTCAGTTTCTGACAAAAAAACACTCATTGGAGACAATGAGTTAGCTTAATGACTGTGGCATTTGCTTAAATAAATTATTATAAATTATTAAATTATTATTATTAAACCATTTTGTAATTCAAATCACACAATAAATCACTTTAAAGCTCAGAAAAACAGGATGTGTTTTGTCCGTTAGCAAAATATAGCATCTAACAAATCTCCCTTTGGACAGAATTCTAATATCAGAATGCACTTAGAAAAAAAAAATCAGGTTTCCAGTAGGCACTCTCCTGTGCTGTAAACATGAACAGCTTACAATGATGATTTTGGCAACTCTTCATATGAGAGAAGATGGTGTCTCAGTGTCAAAGGATTTATAAAGTTTATAAAAAGCATCAATATGTATCAGCTAAAACTTCATCTCTCTCAGCAAAACTGGAAATACTTTATCTTCAATTATTTCTTTGTTCATTTGTTAATGCTTGGCATCTTTGGGAGTTTTATTTAAATTTATGCCTGCTTAAAAGCACCAAATAATGGATTGGCTGGATTTCCCAAAGAGTTAGTTCTGCAATCTGGGTAATGTGTTCTTTAGGTCTCACCAAACAGGGCTAATTTAACTGGGGATTAAACAGGAGGGACTGCAGTCTTAAAATTTGAGCAAGTTCATGTGGGCGAAGATATTCCTGTAGGCAGTGAGGTTCCTGGCAGCTCAGGGGTAACAAAGTGCTGTGTATGAAGAAAAATGGATCAGTTTCATGTTACTTCATGTATTGAAAATTCTTTATGTTTTAGGAGCGGGAGTTTGAAGATGATGACAGTGAAATATTTTTTCCTAAGGTTGGTATCCTTTTCCATATGTTGTGACAAATCAGTCTTCTAATAACTGAGAACCTTCCCTGGAGATCACTCCAAAACCTCTGAAGGACATTATGTTGAAGCAGATTATAGATTCTGTTCATGCAGTTTCAAATCTCCAGAAGAATAGAATAGAATAGAATAGAATACTTTATTGTCTTTTTAAATGTACAGTAATCAGCAAACCTTAAAATGAAATTTCATTGCATTCAGTTCTCAAACGATAACCATTATGCAAATACCCACATACACATACATATATGACAAAGAGAAACATCACAGTTTCGTTCGAAAGTATACATACCTGTTCTGTCCCCACTTCTTCGCTCGTTAACAGATGACAGGCAGACAAACTTAAAAGGAAAGAACTTTTATCAGTCCTCGACTCTGACGGGCTTGCGAGCCCAAAAATAAACATAAATAAAGTCTCTGACAAGATAACAGAATGCAAAACAAAACTCTTACAAAGCAATTCACTTCTCCAAGTGTCTCCTTGAATCAGGGNTGTCTCCAGTGTCTTTTCCCCCACTTGGAGCCGAACCCAGAAGGACATTTCTTCCAACACGCCAATTACATCCCTTCATCCCTTCACCGGAAACTTCCTCTGGATTTATGGGGGGAAATAAGGGCGTCCTGGTGCAGGTTAAGAGAGTAATAATTATGGTATCGACGGCGCCGTCAAACCTTCCGGCCTCTGGTTCCTGCACTGCAAAAGTCGCGGGTCGGAGACCAGGCGTGCTTAGGCCAGGCGATCTCTCCCTTCCCCTTCCACGCCGGCCGGCAGAGAGCGATGGAGAGCCGCTCAAATCCCAACTCAGCCAATGGGGCGCCACCGAATGAGTCGGAGGAAGCCTCCCGCGCGCCCGGTTGTTGTGTACAGTTTGGAAAGATCTCCAGGGGACTCGAAACACCAGGAGGCAGGCGAGGAGAGGCGGCGGCCGGCCACTGGCAGATTCCCTGCACACAGGTCCCAGATGGAGAGCGGCGGCGGCAGACGTCTCCGAGGGGAGACCAAGCCCAGGCTCCCGCTTGCCAGCTGTCTCTCCAAAGGGAGGGCGATGTAATTGGGTTGGGGGGGGACGACTCCAGTACCCGTTGAATGGCGGCGCCTAGACACCTGTCATTGGTTTCGCGGGGAGATTTAATCTAGCGCAGAGCGGATCCCGCACCCGACGAGATCCTTGAGTCCCGGGAATCTGGGAGTGCGCGGGGGAGGGGGGGGGTCCACACGTGCTGTAGCTTCGCTTGCCCGAGCCTGCCTTGTCTGGGCGACTTAGTTACCATCATGAAGGAGACCAGAGAGTCCAAGGATCAGCAGCTCACGGTGAGTGAAGTGACTTCCTCGCCTCTTTCGGGCGGCAAAAAAGCTAAGTAGCCTGGAGAGTGAGACCCCAAAGGGTCGGACTCTAATTCTCAGGATTCCCAGCCAGTATGATCAGCAAGAAGTTAGTGTAGCTTGAGAAAGAGAGCGGGCGGAATTGTATTAGAAATCGGAGAGGAACATTTAATAGGGTTTTTGTTAAAACTGTTTTCTTCCATTCTAATGGCAAGAAGAAACAATCAAATGCAGAAGAATAAAATTACTTGATTTGTTTGTTAATAAGTACGCAAACTAAGAGATTAGATGGTTGTCAGGCTGTCTTCTGGATTTAAGGGACCTGTCCCATCTCAAGAGGGATCTGGCCTTACCTGTTTCCATCAACATAATCTGTCCCATAAATTGAAATAGGAATATACATAAAATTCAATTAAATCTTATGCCGTAGAGTGAAGTGGTCAAACTGCACTAGAAATAATGCCCAGCTCAAGAGAGCAATACTCACATTTTCTCCATATTACGATGTTTTGTTACCTAGACACAGTTGTTTGGATTTGTATGGCTAATCAATGATCTCTGTCATTAGTGTCCCAAAAAAATGGGAGTTAGTGATGCTCAGCTTCTTTGTTTTAAAGTTTTCCCTAGCTGGGCCTTACAAAAATAGTGGGTGTTTTCAGATCATAATTCTGTGTTCATGGAATGTATGTTATAAGCACAAATATTAATTGTACAATTTTATCTTTATAAATTGATGCTCAGATAAGAAAGGGGTTTCCTGGTCAGATTCAGTGTTGCTGTCATTCAGTTTATTATGTTTTGAATTTTTAGTACATATAGTTGAGCAATATGAAGAAAAGTAAAAAAAGATTTCCACTCCCTGGAGCTTCCAATGTAAAATAAAGCAGTTGTCGGAGTCAGCAGAATCCAGAAGAAATATGAATGGAAAGGATGTGTCTTGATTGCTCACTAGAGTAAAAAAAAAAGTATTAATTGGAAATAGCTCTCTCTTGCTGAGGATGTGTATAACGTTTTCAAACATGGTTTGTAACCTGTGTTGCATAATTTAAATCATTCAGCTACCTTTTAATGAAAGTGTAAGTAAATGTTACACATTAATGTGCAATTAAACATTCAGTTCAAGGACAACATTTGTAAAACTATTTTGAAAATATATTGCATTGGAATACAAATGTATTGTATCCTTCCTTCCATCCTTCTGAGGTCGGTAAGGTGAGGACCCAGATTGTTGGGGGCAATATGTTGACTCTGTAAACCGCCTAGAGAGGGCTGTAAAACACTGTGAAGTGGTATATAAGTCTAAGTGCTATTGCTATTGTATTGGAGCATTGGAAGTGATTACTTTTATCATCAGTGCTATGATGGGGGATATCTATGGAGATTCTCAGTCATCCAAATCATGGTTCTCCCAAAGGTGCTTTTTCATGAGGCGACTGGACTTTCTGGTTTTCTTTGAAGACATTTTCCTTCTCATTCAAGAAGCTTCAGAAGAGCTGAAGAAGCTTCTTGGATGAGAAGCAAAACGTCTTCAAAGAAAAACCAGAAAGTTCAGTTGCTTCTTGAAAAAGCACCTTTGGGACTGCTATGAGGGGTGTGTGTGTGGAGAAAAGTCTATGAAATAGATTTCAAAAGTAAAAGAAGACTCCTTAAAGAATCCTTTCAGAGATGCCAAAGTATTTGTACATCAAGGAAGAATGAATTCATCAGAGGAATTTTGCCTAGCTTCACAAGAAATAGTTTAATTGTCTCTAAAATCAACAATGCCACGGGATGTACTTTCTAGGTTCGGAGCAGGGAAACTGTCTGGACCCTTCATTGCAATTTTTGAACAACTCTGAACAGAGACTATAGAATTGCCAATGGTGAGTGAAATTAATAGTTGTGGTTCAGCAAATTTTGGATGATGGCCAGAAGTTTCTACTCAAACAACATGAGGAACAGAAAGCAAGATGTTTTCCATGAGTTGAGATCCTGTGTTAAAATTCATCTCAGGATAACAGATAAAAGCCCTGCTGATAGGACGAGGGAGTTGTGCTTTGGAGTTCACCCCTTTGTTGTCTGTATGGGAAGCAGTGAACTGAAGTCACTAAATCTCTGGATGCTTTTTTAAAGATTGAATGGGATGAATCTTATAGGCTGACGTGGCTGTAGCTGGATATGTTGTTCCAGAAATGCTGCTATCCAGGTGGTGTTTCCTTTCCTCCCAAGGAAAAAGCCTCTCATTGTCTGTTTGCGGCTACCTGCCAGAGCCTCAGAGAGACACAGATGATTTTTTCTCTGTGGTGATAGAAGGACTCAGGTGAGGCACACTGAGCAGGGAAGAACTTGGGAGCTGAAGAAACTCTGCTTACACTTTGGGCCTTGGATGGCCAGGGCACGGAGACCAAGGACTTCCATGCAGGTGCTGATTTCTCTCTCTTTTGTTCTTTGGCTATTTCACAAATTGTGAGATACCTCAGCCACTCATCCATCTTGCTGTATTTTAGGTGGCACTTCGCATACGGCCAATCAGCATGGCAGAGCTGGAAGAAGGAGCCACACTCATTGCTCACAAAGTGGATGACCAGGTATTGTGAGAACCCTTTCTGATAAATGAGTAGAATTTAGTTGAGACCTCATTTTGTGAACTGATCTTTGAAGTTAGAATCAAAATGAATTTCAGGAGATGCTCCCTCTCTCACATGAGGCGGAAATACATTTCAGTTGTTTAAAAACACATCAATACAGTATGATGCAATTTTTACGTTCAAGTTCAGATTTTATACAGGAGCCAGTAGCTAGGGGAGGAATTACCATTTAATGTAAAGAAAGTTTGTTGGGTCAGTACCCTGTCATCCGAAAGTTATCCTGAATTCTAGAGACGAGGAAATAAAAGATATTCTATCCACGGAAAAAGTTATTCTATTCAGAGCTCTGAGTTACAGTCTATAATTTTTTTGCGGCTGTCTATTCTGGCAAGGCTTTAATGGAACAGAGCCCAAAGGCTGATACTAGATTGCCAATCTTGGCATATACACGGAAATAAATACGCCTTTATTATAGATCTCAGACTATGCATCCATCTAACCTGCTGTTGTATACTCTGACTGGCAGCAACCAGGCAAATAAAAAACAGCACATAATGGATCAAAGTCTGATCCTTTGAACTGGAGTTTGAAGAAAATAACTTGCTATCTGTAACTTTGAGAAAGTTTACTTTTTCCAAGTGATGTGTTCTACGTAGCTTTCCTCTTTAGCTCTAGGTGGCTGTTAAGCTTGTTTGAAGTTCTTCAGAGCATGGATGCTAAAGGCTGATTCTCACTTTCTTCCAAAATTGAACTTAGCTAGTTGAGGCTCTTCTTGGCCATCAAAGCTCTCGGAAATATATCTTATTAGCAACTGCTAAGTAGCCTTGCTCAGTTCCCATTTGCTGAAGTCAGGAGGGAAATTAGTATGTTGATTAAAAGGATATATTTTCTCTTCTCTTGAGAACTAATGAGAAGAGTTGACTATGATTGACCCAACAAGTCTGACTCCTGAGACCCAGACAGTCCCCTGTGGGACCCACAATGTTGTATCTACATGCTATATTTGTTAGGGTGGAGAAATTACATCATGGCTCAACATTTGTGACAGATAGTTTTTGCGGTTTGGGGAAATGAGTTTTGTAAGTCTACTTTGTATTTATTGTACAGACAAACCTGTTGTGTGTGTGCCATGGTATGCTAATTCTAAAACTCTTAAAAACAAGTGTCAACTGCCACTGTTGCATTTTATTAAACCATGGGGTGGTCTTTTTTAATCTCTTGGGGAAAATCTGTTGCCTTCCCCCTTCCCCATATCTAGCAAGCAAAATGGGGCAATTCTGACCCAGTATTTAGGGAGGAGGGACAAGCTGAAACCCAGTTAGCATGAAGAGGGAAAATTAGACTAAACTATAATTTTAATAATTGAGATTAAATTATAGATTTTGTTTGAGTTCTACACTTTTGGCTGGTTTTGTAGGTGCAGTGGCAGATCAAAACAAAGAATATTGTGTATGCTGATTGAGTTCCTTGTAGAAGAAAAAGTGAGTTAGGCAGTTGAACTAAATCTTGTTATTTAAGAGTGAGGGTAATTTTCTGATACATTGTCCGCTGAAGAGAGCTGAAGCATTTTAATAATCTGCTACTGCTAAGATCTACAGGTCAAAACTATGTGATTAAATGTGTGTCTCGTAGAGGCAGCATGTCGTTTTACTACAAATATATACTGTACACAAAATAACCAAAAATGGAATGGAATTAAGCAAAGAGAGCATTTTAAAAATCTAAAAGATACCAATAAAAGTTCCAGTTTCTCCAAACAAATTAGTCCTTTCTATACTCTTAGTTAGGCAATCTGTTAATAAGGAAAGTAGATGAATAAAAACAATAACAACAACAACAACAACAAATAAACAGTGGATTAAATAAAAATGCTAGCAATTGAAAAAGATTAAAATGGTGCAGATGTGTTAGGTGACTTGGATTTAATGCTTTCAAAAGATAGCTAATTGCAGTTAGCAAGAAGCAGAATACTTTATTATATTATTTTATCATTTTCCAAAGTTACAATTTATGTCTAGTCCTCAAAAAAGCAGCTGTTCTAAATGATGTCATCCAGATAGTTGATTTATTCATAATGAAACTACCATGGAAGAAATTAAAAATAGAGAATTGCCATGAAGTTTCAGTTCTAGACAATGAGAAAAAAATACAGTTTTAAAATTAATTGGCATGTTTATAACATGTTTCAGCCACATTGATGTATTCAAGGTTTTTTAAAAAAAATTGGAAGATTGCAAAATATTCTGATTAGTTACAGCTACCTATGTACATCCACACTGTTTGCCTAAGGTGAAACAAATAAGTATGGGCTATCATGAAAATAATATTCATCTAGGAAATAATTAGCAAAACTGATGGTTGTTGAGGTAGCCCAAAGTTTGGGGCAAGTCTGAAAATAAGGAATCAAAGATAAATGGCACATATCTAACAATTCCTCCAACGTATTCAATTATTGTGCATTACAGTACTATTTCCTTGGCTCTTTGACCTGTGTATGTGGAGGAGGGGAGGGAGTTTCTGTGACAACATTATGAAAAGAAACCATGTAGATCTTTGTTGTTGTTTTAAGAACAGAAGCATGTAGTTTTTTTAAAAAAAGAGGCAAATTTGAACTGATTACTATAGTAATTTGTGTACTCCTATTAATACAGTGTGAAGGGATGGCTTCTTATTTCTTAGAACTAAAGTTGCCATGGAGACAGCTTTCTCACTGCCCCATCCAGCTGAGGACAATGCTTTATGGACCATGCCAGCAAATTGTTTACAGGAGTGATTTGTCGTCATGACAATAAGGTGTTGGATTCAAAACAGGGTTGGAATTAAGCAGTAAGAAGGAACAACACCAGAATTGCTTCCGGACCTGATATCAGGCAGTAGATATACAACCACATCCCAATCTGGAGCTGAAATGCATTTCCTCAAGACTAATGCTTTTTGGCCTGGCTGTGAGCCAGGACTTCGTTTTAATCAGAAGTAATTTTCAGGGCCACAAAGTAAAAGTTACCAAGCAGTCTTTGTTGGTGCTTGCTAGCTTCATTCCAAAGTGTCAGAACACACTTAACACTAGATCCACAATAGAAATTATTTCCAGTCAAATAGTATCAGATTCCCTTTTCCAAATTAAGAAAATATGTTGGGCGTTCCTCAGCTTGGTCTTTCCGTTGCTTATTTTATCATTATATCCACATAAAAAGAATAATTAGCCCTTTTCAATTTATGATTATATAAAAACATGCATTTTTTAAATACGCTCTTTGCCTCAGGTAAGATTAACTCAATTGTTCAGCTCTTTACATGTATTAGAGTCCATGAATATGCCTAGGTCATTTTGTATTCATTTTTATATATACAAAAATGGCTAATTCCATACTTTGTTTAATTTTGGTAGGCAATTGTCCATAATCTGAGCCTTTTGATTAAAATACTTTTAAATCAAAAAATGAAATCACATCAATTGAAGAAGTATAAATACTAAAGTATAATAGTTTATTAGTTTTAGAAGCACAAACTACATCAGTTAATATCAAAATACAAACCTAACAAATTCTTTTCCCCATCCCCAATAGCAGAAAAGATGCCCAAATTCACTCTAGTGTGCAAGTACATTGATTTTCAGGCATAAAAGTAAGAATTAGTCATGTAAGTAGAAGGCTATGTATTATTGTGGAATTCCACATTTTGATCCTTGGTTAATTTAATGCTGTGAAAATGGTAAGAATTTCTTAGGAATGCTTCCAGTAACAGGATCTAAAAAAGATTGTTTGCACTATTATGCACCAAAAGGGCTAGTAAACAGAGCAACAATTCTGAAGTCTACAAAGTTTACCTTGTAAACTGAAAAGTTTACAAAGGCTCAACATTTTGATTTTGCCGCTGAATTATCACAATACAATTTCAGGCAATTTGGGAATGGGTTGGAGACCTTTTATTTCTGATTTTATGAGGAGGTATTATACAGTCAGAAATTGGTTATTTTGCCACTATATTTGGGTGATTCTGTCTCTGCATGCTGGGGAGCAGGGGGCGGGGAGGTATAAATTGGATCCTACATGGCAACAGATGGTCTACCCCAGGATATTTGCCTTCAACTTAATTGAAAGCTCTATAGCGTATCAAGTCCACTTTGGAATCCAAAATTGATAATGTTAAATAACTTCCCTCATTGTGTTTAAGACTAGTAGCATTCTTTTTGAGATATAATAGTGTATATCTATCTGTACAAATCCCCCTTTGAGACTAAAATACAGAGATATACAGACTCTGCTAAAGAATTATTCATATCAGCATCCTGTAAGGGCTGAGTATAAAGTGTGTACATCTGATATTTCAGAAACCAGAAAATTTGGACTCTGCAAAAAGATACTTTAGCTGACTGAAATGGATAAGCGTTGCCTTGGCCTCAATTGTTTCTTGGCCCCCAAGGACTGCAGAGTCGTAACTGATCATATAAGGATAGCCAATGTTTAAGCCAATTTTGGAGAATATGAGTGATTGAAGGATTATTATTTTTTTGCCCAAATTAAGCACATTAAATCTTCCAACAAGATAGAGCCAGGGCGGTCTATTGGTTAATGTGCTAGCCTGGGAACAAGGAGACCTAGTTATAATCTTCCTTTAGGCACCAAAAACAAGTTGTGCATTCTTGGACCATTTACTCCCTCTCAGCCCAAATTAGCAGGCTGAAAAAACTCAGCCTTGCAACATGCCTTGATGAGCTTCACTATAAGGACTAGTTAACCTCAGTGCAAAATCAGCAGATTCCACAACCAAACAGGATAATAAATGGTAAGAACAACAGCAAGGTGTTTAACAAGCTCAACATTCCTAGTTTACATTTTAAATAGTCAACTTCTTATGATTATGACAGATAAAGAAACTGCAGACCAGAAGTCAGGCCTTCTTCATTGTTGCCCCAGCATGGCTGTTATTAGGAAATCCCAAATTGAAAACTCTCCTTTTTGAGTGATCACTTCCCCCCTAATTGATGATGAACGGGTAGC